TTTTTCTGGATGATTATATTAAATTTGAACAAAAAACATGTCTAATTAATTAAAATCATGAAACTTGTTTAATTTAACAGCAATTTAGTCCTATTAAAAGTTTAACAAAAATTACATTCTTAGGGCCCAAATTCTGTGCTTTCTTTTTTTTTATTTTAATTTTTCTGTATTCCATTTTAATGGTTTAATCAAAAACATATCTAATTAATTGAATTCATAAAAACAACTTAATTTATTAATTTGTATACAATAATAGGGCCCTATGAAATTTTAATTTTATTTACTTTAGAAATCCTGTGTTGTGTATTTTCATTTTTCTGGTAATCAAATGAAGGCAAAAACACGAATCTCTCTTTTATTCCAATGAAAATTAAACAAACCCTTTAATTTTTGTACATTCAAAATGCTACACAGCAGAAGTTTAGTGTGTAACGAGCAATGTCACGGAATTTGTCAAATATTGAATGAATAAATCAAATGCAATTCAGTACACTTCAATCAAACCGCGATATGGACTAGTGTAAGTGAATATTAAATGGCAAAAATACTATTTAGCTACTACAGACGACAACCGCGAGCGTTGCGCGTGCTTCAATAGCAAACTAGCAAACGAAACGGGCATCTGCGCCGTTCATTTCGTCACATTCCGCGTTACACAGTAAATTCTGTTTTTATGAATAGATTCCGGGATTCCGTCCCCATTTTCTACATCGCCCTACTTTTGCTAAGAAACACGTTCAACGCGGACGCACAGACGGTTGTCGTGGTAATGAACACCACAGCAACCACTTGTGCGTCAGCACTGAATGCGCATCTCGCATATAAAAAGCATTTTAGGGGACCCTTGGCTTTTGGGGGCCCAAGGCGGTCGCCTACCTTTGCCTAATGGTTAAGTCCGCCTCTGGTTGCCTCACGTGGATTAGGTCAGTATTTTCCAAATGACACACCTTAGTGTCCTCTCTTAAGAGCCAACAAGTTTCACTTTTAAAGAAAGTGCTTTGCTTTCTTTAACTTCTTTATGCATGAGTTTTTCTCGCCTAAAGGTGGAGTCTTTGTGGCAGGGCCTAGGCATGACAGCTCCAGGCCAACAGAGGGGGAAGGAGGAGTATTGGAACTTGGTGACTGGCTGCCACCCAGTCGCATAGAGAGGTGACTGTGTCCAAGCTGAGCTCTGTGTGCCAGTAATCTTCAATGAGGCAGTGTGGCTAAGCCTTGTTATAACTCGGTTATATATACATCTGTTCTCTGTCCATGTTTTTTTATACCTTTTAAGTACACCAGTTCTCGAGCCATGTTCCATCTTGAATTATCCACAAAAAAAAGGCTTATTGCTGGTTTTACCATTTTGCCTTGCATGCATTTTGTAACAGCACTGAATTGCAAGACATTTGTTTGACATTTGGGTAGATTCTTTCTGTTCTAAGCTTGTTCAAGCATGGGTTGTTTGCAAATGTTAAAAAAAGAGAAAAGCTTATCAGATTATTCGCTTATTTTTTCTTTTTCTTTTATACAAAGCACTGGTGTTTATGAAATGGAGAAAGCAACGTTTATTTTCTACATTCCACAATTGGTGACAACTGGCACATTTGTAGAGGAGCTCTGGGACGCTTGTAGACAGTGGAGCAGAAAGCTTTATTTTAAATAAAATGCTCAGCTACATTTTCCAAGCTTGATGTTCCTCCCTCGCCTGCGTTTTTTAAAAAGTCATGTCAAGACCTGCCAACGAGAGACATTTTCTCAAGTGAACACTGGCTTCTGGGAAGATCTTGCCTAGACGAGACTGTGATGAGGGATATGATGACGCTGGTCTTTGATAGCTTGGATACTACTAGGCCTCTGTTTGTTTTTGACTATTTTTCGGCTTTGTGGGTGCCCTCAGATTAACACTGGTCTATTGGGTCTGGGCAAGACTAAGCAGTGCGGCCTTTATTACCAAGCTTCTAATAAGTGTTGTGCTGAGAAAGTACTTTTAGAACCAAAAGCAACCCTGCGGTCCTCAATCAGCACATGAGGAGGCAACTGTGCATATAGTGGCCCTACTGCATTAGAAGCATCTCGATGTCACTTAACAGTTTGTAGGGAGTTCGCTGCATTGGGAAAGAACTAGTGAATGCATACTCCTTAATGGTAAGACTGATCAACAAACTAAAATATTCTACTTTAAAAACGGGAGCGTGGAAAGCATTTTGGTTCGTTGTCCTTTTGTTTTTGTAAATGGAGTGTGCATTGTTTCTCTTCCCAATGTAGTCTTCCCATGGAGTCAGAAACTGTTATTTGTTTAAATTTATCCATTAATTATTTTTTTTTTCAGCCCAGATTTTTGTGTTTTATGTATTCATTGCTAACTTGTTTTTTTGTTCTGTTGTGGTGTGCAAAATCTTGCTGCGTTCCTTTTTGCCACACTGCAACACTTTACAGATGTGGAAGATGTCAAATTTGTCATCAATTATGACTACCCTAACTCATCTGAAGACTATATTCATCGCATTGGAAGAACAGCGCGCAGTCAAAAAACAGGCACAGCCTACACTTTCTTTACTCCCAACAACATGAAACAAGCCAACGATCTCATCTCTGTCCTCCAAGAGGCAAACCAGGCCATCAACCCAAAACTGATCCAGATGGCAGAGGACAGAGGAGGTGAGGTTGACCGACATAACACAGAATATTTTTGAAATCTGAAATTAAAAACATGTGAATTACCCTTTTTTTCTCTCAATTTAAAGGTCGTTCCCGTGGCAGTCGCAGTGGCTATAAGGACGATAGTCATGATCAGTATTCTGGTGGGGGTAAGAGAGATTTCAATAGTTACAGAGATAGGGATAGTGACAGGGGTTATAGTAGTGGACCAAAGGTGCAGAGTGGAGGCTATGGAGGCAGCAGCTATGACAAAAGTAACAATAACAGCAGTAGCTATGGTAATGGCTATAGTGGCAATGGACATGCCAGCTATAATACAGTGAACTCAGTTGTTGCCTTTGGAAATCAAAACTTCCCAAACCAGTCATTTCCCGGAAACCAGGCTCCAGCACAGAATGGGATAAACCACCCACAGTACCTGTAGGTGCCAGATACGGTTTGATGTCTTTTATTTTGAAATTGTCACTTCCAGTTTGTTACGTCATTTTGTATAGGTGCATATTACCTGTTAGTTTGGATGTGGATATTATGGAGGAAGGGGGTGAGTAGCTGGGACGCTCACTTTCTGTTGACCGTTTCACTTTGTTTATTTAAATTTTATTTGGTTTATCTTTTGTTTTCTATCTTACCGTCTTCATGCAACGTGTTGCTGTTCATTTCTATATTGTAATTAAAACCCTTTGCGATCGAAACGCGTCATGGATGTATTCCCACTACTTAGCCCCTTAGCGGGTACTGGCTGCCGCTTTAAACAGTAATAACGTTTCATTTAACATGTTGTAATTTAAGGGGATTTTACAAAATATTACTAA